ATAATTGATTCAGGCAAGATTAATTAATGGATGCTAAAATAAGTGGGCTGAATCTGAGGCATCAGAGAGTAAGAACGTGGTTTCCTGCATCCCTGCACAAAACACTATTGATCACAAATGCAAAAATGATCATTCATAGTGGGGAATCTGGCAGATGTCATCCGAACCAAACTGTCAAATTAACATCAACAGTAATGGGACATTATGGGAATAATTAGAGAAATGTAAATACAAATTATGGGTTACAAAATAGCACTGGATCAATATGAATTTCCTGATTTTGATTTTTGGACTCTGGTTATGTAAGAAAACAGCTTTGCTTTTGAGAAATACAGGACGAAATATCTGAGGTTAAAGGAGCATCATGTCTGCAAAATGGACTCTGCAATGATTCAGGACCCGGATACTTATGTGTGTCTATATCGAAATAGAGTGAGAGAGAGACGGAGGTTGAGAGGCAGGTGGGAGGGAGAGGAGAACGAACTCGCTTGGAATTACAAGATGGAATTAAAACCCTTGGAAATCCGGATCGGGGATGCTTTCTGGTGCTTTCTTCTAGAATTGTTATTCTTTTGCCTTTCATATTTGATCTGAAATCCAACTGGAATTGATCTTTATGTGCTGTGAAGTAAAGATAAAGGTTTACTCCTTGCATGTGGATATCTAGTGGACCCGGCTCCATTTATTAAAAAGACCAAACTTTCCACACTCCCTGGTGCTGCCCACAGGACTGTGCACCTGTCTCTGGACGCTCCTTGGTCATTTGATTGTTTCTTCACACCGACGCCTCCACACACACCACACACCTCTGAGTCATTTTACAAGTTTTTGATCTTTTATTTTGACCAATGTCAGACTGGCAGACACACTGCGCGACAGTGGAGAATCCCCGTGCACGCCAGTCCTTCCCTCGCACGCTGTGGGTTGCTGGGTTGAGGCTGTCCCTGGGGTGCACGGGCCCTCTGGGCATCCCTGGCCGTGTCTGCCACAGTCCGTCCTTCACGCTGCCCGGGCGCGCTTGTGTCCAGGTTGCATCTACTCTGCCCTGTGGCTGACTTCAGCGTCACAGCCGAGCGATCCTTACTGAGCTAACCCGTGGCTCCTGTGTCAGCCCTGGGGTCTTCAGCAGATTCACCAGCTCCCTCCTTTGCTACCCATCCCGACACCCAGCAGGGTCCCAGGGAGCATGTACCGTGGAACGCTGCATGAGGGCAGCTTCCCAGTGACCGTCGGTCCCAAGGCTGCGTGGGCAGCAGCTCCCGTGCACTCAGGACTGTGGGCTGATGAGCGGCCCCTGCCATCCCACGCAGGCTGCAGCCTCCACGGCCAGAAGCCACCTGCAGGCACAGCTCCTGAGGTCAGTCATAACCGGACACAGATCAGGGCCCCAGAGGCCGAATCCCGCCTCTCCGGGTGGGTGGGGTCCACGCTGCCAAAGCGTTCACTTCGCCCTGACCTCTATGTCCAGGGAACGTGGGCGGTGCAGCCCCCGGTGTTCGAGGACTGAGGCTGGCCTGTCCTCTGCAGACGGGGCTCCTGGTCTCGCAGCTTCAGCCTGGGCTCCATGAGGAGACCGCAGCCCCCGCAGCCCCCGCAGCCCCCACACGCCCTGCAGGCCCCGAAGGCCTCCCCTACAGGTCACTTCCAGACTCACACCTTCCTGGGCACTGACCAGCAGCAGCCCACCCGCCGGCGGTTCCTGCTCATCCTCGCCGAAGGGACACGTGTGGTGTCTAGGGAAACGTGTCCTTCCACATCTGCTTCAGGACTGGGGTCCGGCTGTGCGCACTGCTCTGCCCTTGGGGGGCGGGGTGGGGGGCACGTTCCTTCGCCCCACTCAGGAGGTGCCCCTGGACCCGCAGCGCCTGCTCCTTCCTCTGCACCACGCAAGGCTGACCCCAGGCTCCTCCTCCACCAGCGGCCCCAGCGAGCCTCCCACAGGCCGGGCGTGAGCCCTGGGGAGCATCTCTGGGGTGGACATGGCTGTGGCCGACAGGGCTCTGCCTCTCCTGCACCAGGACTTGTCCAAGCCCTCGGGCCACCTTTGCGTCCATCCTGAGTCCCCAGCTCCTTCAGCAATGGGTCGCTGCTGTGCTCACCCAAATCCACGAGTTGATGGGCCCACAAAAGCCTGGCCCGCAATGGGCAGGGGCAGGTGCCCAGGTAATTGACGCCCTGTGGCTGCCTCCAGAGTCCTTCCCACTGGTTTTCTCGTTGGGCTAGCGTGGCCTCTTCCCTGAGCTGCCAGGACAGTGCTCTGAGGTGGCCTCACAGACGGAGCGGGTCAGCACGGCCGGGGCGAGACGCAAAGGGATTTCAAGGGCCCTTCCCTACTGATGTTGACAATGACGTTTTGCTGAATCAAGAGCCACTGTTTTAGTAAAGGCACCGCACCTATCACACCGCTCTGATGAGGCCCCTTAATTTAATCTTCAGGATCCCCCATCTTCCAGCATCGTCGGTTTTGATTTTTCAGGCGCCCTATCAGTGATTTCAGGGGGAAATGATTGAGACCACCGCCTGCCATTCTTCAGGTCTGCAAGGGTGGCGGGGTCTCCTCACTGCTCCTGGGAGATGCTGCTCTGCGTTTAGTTTCTGGGGTGGGGAGGGGCCGTTTCAGGAGCTTCCATGTGGGTCTTCTCACCGTGAGGTTTCTACTGTGCAGGTCAAGGGGCCTTGGTGGGCTCTTGTGGCAGGTGCACGCTCATTCCAGCGATTCTCAGGGACAAAAGAAAATACGGAAAGGAACAGAGAGGGGACCAAGCTCCACTCACTGCCTGGCTGCAGACGCCCACCCTCAGCGGGCCCAGGTGGCGTTTCCAATCCCAGTCGGCATCACACGGACCCTGTAAGACCCAGCAACTGTAGGGCACTGGCTGGGGCTCTCAGCTTCCCTGGTTGGGGTGGGGGTGGCTCACGCTTACTGGGCATCACAAGGGCCTTCCTGTGTCACTGGATCCTGCGTCCAAGACTGGATGAGGGCTCAGGGCCCTCCACTGCAGCCTCCAGGTCCCTAGGCTGACCCTTTCTGCCTCCAAGTCCAGCAGGACGGTCATGGGCCGCCCTTTTTCCTTACCTCCTCTGGGTCCACCAACCGTCCTGCGGCCCCTCTGACCCTGGCCTGGCCACCACCCTGGCCGGGCCCCCTGGGAGAGGGTGCGTCCACATGGCTCCTAGACTACAGGATTCCAGAATCTAAATTGCTCCTGTGGCATTTAGCCCTGCAGCTGCATCCCTGCCCACCAGCCTGGCCTTCCCAGCAGGCCAGGGCCGTCCTGACTGGTGCCCTCTGCCCGTCCTGGAGACCACGGTCAGGAGGTGGGTCCTTGGGAAGTCGCCCGATTCCAGCGTATGTTCTGGTCTGGGTCTCCCGTCCCTTCCCAGTCTCAGGGACTTGGCTCCAGCACGGCATTCTCCACGGTAGATCAGCACCGTTTTCTGTAAAGGGCCACACGGTAAGAATTTCAGGCTTTCAGACCACAGGGTCCCTGTCTTGACTCAACCCAGCCTTGGGACTGAGAGCAGCCGTAGTAAAACGTGAAGGAAGAATGCGGCTGCGTGCCAGGAGAACTTTGGAAGATCAGGTTGCGGACAGGACTTGGTTCACAGGCCAGAGTTTGCTAACCTCTGCCTGGGGCCTTCACTGCCGCCGTCTCTGACACGTGCATTTCCGCAGATCTTTCAAATTCTTTCAGAATATTCTTAAACTGATGTGTTCCAGCTTTTGTTCATGCCAGGTGAGCAAATGAAAACCTTGCAGTTACAACTGTGAGATCATTTCTGAGTGAACTGATTCCTAAGCTTGTAGACATTCTGTAGCCAAATAAATCATATTGACCAAATTGTGTGTTTTTTTAAGTGATTTTGGTGTTCATGGCCCATATTAAAAGTGCCATAAAAATATAGTATCTGAAGCATTTGAGCTATATGAAATATTTTTTTATTGGTGATAAACATTAAAATATGAATCTAGAGATTTGAAAACATTCTCACTTTATAAATATTGTCTTGTAAGTAAAAACATAAAATCAACGGGGATTCCAGTATTATCCTCAAATATAATAAGCTTTCTGATTTCACATATTGTCTACATATGTGAGGCAATTCCCTTGTTTAGCCATTTTGAAGATCATTTTTAAGCCGTTGATGCTCTGTATTTCCAGAGTGTGGGCCACACTGAGAGATACTTTTCATGTAAACATCCATAAGTCAGACCAGCAGCTTCATCAGATCACGTGGGACAACTCCCATGGGTCCAGCAGTATTTATGCGGGACTTCTCAGAGCCTTTGCTGTGAAAGCACGCACTACGCCTTTCAGAGGTGACACCAAGGATGTGTCACCCCCAACACCCAGGTGATCGTGGACCTGAGGACATGTCACCCCCGACACCTGGGTGATCGTGGACCCGTTGGTAGTTGAGAGTGTTGGAGGCCACACTTTGAAAATTGGTTTAGAAAATATGTACTGTCCACATGAGATTACTTAAATGGACTAAATTAGGTTGAATTTAAACCTTTTAATCCTTTAATGAGGTTATCTTATTGAAGAAATAAAATGTGCATGATTTGTGATAAATTTTTCACAACGAACCAATGAAGTGTTGACAGATGAAATGACGTGATATGTGGATTTTCTCCACAATCACTGGGATGGGGTGACGAGGTGGGCATATCTACGGCCAAAAGCTGGCCGTGGGCAATGGCTGTTGAGGTTGGGCAATGGGCACGTGGGGGTTCATTAGTACTGTCGTCTCTACTTTTGCATAGATTTGACCTTGTTCATAATGAAAAGGTTAAAAATGAGAAACAACAAACCAAGATAAGAAAGAAAGGAAACCAGTAATTCATTGACCGTAATTTTTAGGCTTCTGGTCACTTGTATCACAGTTCATCAGTGTACATGTCTCTAACTTGTGAGGACGCAGTGGAACCTACATCTGTCCTACGCTTCAAGCAATAACAAGAGCACGTCTCACGGAGGAAATCACATGCAATTCACCATTCGTCCCGGTCGGCGTCACAGTTACAGCCGTACTGAGGATCCAGGCAGTCCCTCTCTAACCCACAGGCACACTGGTGGGCGCCGGGAAAAGATCCTCCCCAGTAAGTGTGGGTCTCGTTGGCTCTTCCAGCCCACCAGCTCAGCGCCGTTCCATCTGAAACACAAATCGGAGAAAGGTGACAGCTGCCTGGCCCACTGTCCACCACCCCCAGGGACCCCTCGTCTCCCAGCTCATTAAGAAACCCACAGAGCAAAGAGAAACTCTGCTTTAAAATGGTTTTATTCTTAACACCCTAACAGAATATTGCTTCTTTAAGAATTATAACTGATCTATCTGATTACATTGTATTTCTTAACCCATCACTGGACCACGTATTTTATTAGGAAGTAATACCTAACTCCTCTCATCACGGTAGTACATAATTTGGAACAGCAAAGTTGTGAAACTTCATCAGGAACTGCATTAAGAAGTGAGTTGCCATCAAAATAAAAAAATGAACAAATAATCGAAAAGTGATTTGGAAGCTAAAGTTAACCTCTGTGTGAGATCCCGAAAGGCCTGTTGCAATAGAAACAGAACGAAGGCAGCACGTTCCTCTGAGCCCTCAGTCGGCCCCATGGGTTATTACTGAGCAGCCCTGGCTGCAGGCCTGACCCCAGCATCCTGTGACTCCCAGGTGGGAAGCACCCTGCTGTGGCTGGGGGGTTGTTTGGGGCTGAGTTGCGCTTGCTGTTCTGAGAAGGCGCCTGTTCACCTGCAGAGCCGCAGAAGGGAGGGGCAAACCCTCCACCTGCCTGACACAAACACCGTGTTGGGAAACCAGCAACCCCAGTGCCCTCTCAGGGATAAACAGGAGCCTCTGCATCCTGCCTGGGATCCCACGTCGGAGCTGGACCTCTCCGGAATGCTGCAGAATGAGAGGGACCTGGGCAAGCAACGCCCGCAGCACTTAGAAGACGGCCGAGAAGGGAGAGGTGGAGTCCAGCATATGCCGACCCAGGAAGAGGGCCCCCACCTCAGAGAGCCAGGCAGGAGGCAGCTGCTTCCGAGGCGCTGGCCATTTCCTGCGAGTGAAACCAAGGGTCCCACGAGGACCCGGAGCACGTGCCAGTCCCCTGGTGCCTTCTGACTCCACCCAGCGAAGCAGCCTTGGCTCACACGCCGTCGCCTCCCTGGCCAGCAGCTCCCAGAGGTGCTGGGATGAGTGCTGTGAGCATCACCCATGAAGACAAAAGCTCACTGCTGGGAGGCAGGAGGCGTTTAAAATGTTTAATAGATATTTTTGATAATAACCCTTTAAAACTTTAATTACTTCATCATTATGCTTTCAAAAATCAGAGGGAGGACATTATTGTATTCCAACTTATAACTGTATTTTTACCATCTAAATTACTCATCTAATAACACTGGAATTATCAAATGGCTATAGTGATATCAAGGGTCTTCAGTTGCATTTGTGAGTTTTTAAGCATTCCAGAGATTTGGGGAAGGTTGAAGAAATAACAAAACAAGACAGCAGAAAAGAAAATAAGAAGAGAAATAGGAACCAGTCTACTGAACCAGGGAACGCACCCCACAGGCTCCCAACCCAGTCTCGGCCGGGATCTCCTGCCCAACCTCAGGGCCTCAGCCTCACACCCAAGGCCCTCCCTGCAGGGCTGGCCCCGGCCTGTGAATGTGCATTTCTGTATTCTTCGCACTCCTCCCAGACCCATCACGGGGACCTGCCAGAGCCCCCACTGCCTCCTTCGCCTCGTGACCTGCACACCCCGACCTGCAGCCCCACTTGGACCTCACTTCCCAAGTCCCCTTTCTTCCCACCCTGTCTCCACAGGGACCAGCCTGTGGGCACCCTGGATGCTGGACCCCAGGGACCTCCCTTGGATGCTTTTCTGGTCCTCTGACTGCACTGAGCCCCGCCAGGGCAGCCTTGGTGACAATTTCCTCAACCACGTGAGGCCGCGGCCTGGGCTGTATCCATCCGAACCCAGTGACAACTCCCTCAACCACGCGAGGCCAGGGCCTGGGCCGTATCTATCTGAACCCAGTGACAATTCCCTCAACCACGCGAGGCCAGGGCCTGGGCCGTATCCATCTGAACCCAGTGACAATTCCCTCAACCACGCGAGGCCAGGGCCTGGGCCGTATCCATCTGAACCCAGTGACAATTCCCTCAACACGCGAGGCCGGGGCCTGGGCCGTATCTATCCGAACCCAGTGACAATTCCCTCAACCACGCGAGGCCAGGGACTGGGCCGTATCCATCCGAACCCAGGGGCACCAGGCACTGGCCGCCATGACATAAAGCCCCAGGTTCTTATCTGCCTATTCAAGGACCCCCACCCAGACCACGTCCAGTCCCTGCTCTGCCTCCTCATCTCTGCTCCCTCCTCCGGTGGCTTTGCCGGACTGTGCATCCCAGATCCTCCCAGCTCCTCCTCTTCTGGGGCTCCCCTGGGGCCTCCCCATCACCATCCAGAACCTGCTTCTGTGCCATTGTCCTTAAGAACACTCCCAGAGGCCGGGCGCAGTGGCTCACGCCTGTAATCCCAGCACTTTGGGAGGCCGAGGCGGGCAGATCATGAGGTCAGGAGATCGAGACCATCCTGGCTAACACGGCGAAACCCCATCTCTACTAAAAATACAAAAAATTAGCCGGGCGTGGTGGCGGGCGACTGTAGTCCCAGCTACTCGGGAGGCTGAGGCAGGAGAATGGCGGGAACCTGGGAGGTGGAGCTTGCAGTGACCTGAGATGGTGCCACTGCACTCCAGCCTGGGCGACAGAGCGAGACTCCATCTCAAAAAGAAAAAAAGAAAAAAAAAGAGTGCCCCTAGACCTCCAGATCTTCCTCTGGCAGGAACGCTCCCCACTCTGGCTTCCCAAACACCTGCCTGTCCTCCTGCACTCGGCCGGGGGCACTGTGGCAATGGGGCTCACCTGCCTCCATGGTCACCTGTGCGATTTGCATTGAGCTCAGCCACACCAGGGAGCTGGGAGCTGAGCCATCTGTGTGGGGACACCATGGAGGAGCCTGTGGGACTGTGGGATCACTCTGTCTCCAGAGTCCACACCTGCACGGTTGGGGGTCCAGCCTCAGGCCACATATTCAGCCCAGAGGATCCTCAAGTGTACCAGGCAGCCCCCAAGGACGCAATGGCACACCCTACCCAACCAGGCCAAGGCTGTCCCAGGACACAGGACCTGCCCTAGAGTCCCCTGCGGTCCCAGCACAGGCTTCGGAGTGGATGTCCCACATGGTGTGTGCAGCGCAAGGGCCATTTGTGTGGAATCATGAACACTGAAACCCGAGGGCTGACCTCTCCTGTGCTCACCCCAAGTTCCAACCCTGAGGGAAAGGCCGGGCCCCCCCCCTGCACCCATCCCAGCACCTGTCCCCGCACCCCTCCCAGCACCCCTCCCTGCACCCCTCACCGACTCAGAGGGACCCAGCACAGCCCTCAATCCCGCAGCTCACTGTGGCCAACGTGGGACCTGGTCTCTAATATTCCGGACATGAATCCCAGGGTGGCCTGAGCCCCAGAGTGTAGGGGGGTCCGGGAGGAGGGCTGGCATTTGGGGAGGGTGGCAGAAGGGCCACATCCACAGCAAGCTGCCCTAGGCTTGGGAGACCCGGTCCCTTGGTGTGCATGAGGCCAGCAGCTGGCCCGACAAGACGGGGCTGAGTGGGCAGCCGCCTCCAGTCTCACTGGACACAACACACACGCGTGTGATGTTCACAGGCCATGCTTCTGCCAAGGGCCAGGCGCCCTGTGGGGTGCTGCCCTCAATCCTGTAACTCCATCTTTTGCCAGAAAAGGCGCTGAGTGAAAATGACATGGAGCGGCAGTGGCTTTATTTGAGGCCAACTTCACTCTGCTCCAGTTTCTCTAATTTACGAAAGGATTGATTTGCAAAATCCAAGGGTGAGTGATCATGGTTATGGATCAATTACAGCCTGACACCCCCACACTCCAGGCTGAGGAAAAGCATGACATGCAGCGGGGCTAAGACTCGGTGGGGTCAGCCCGGGGTCCCTGGACACTAGGTGGAGGGGTCTGTCTGCTCAGCAAGGCTCTAGAACTTCCTAAATAGGGCAGTGCCCTGCGAAAGCAGAGCCCACAGAGAGACACGTCTGTCCTTACAGAGGAAATATAGGATTGTTTGGAAAACCCGGGGGGACCAGCAAGGTCTCAGGACGGTGAAGACCTGGGGCATGAGGAGCGGATGGGGGCTGAAGAAAGTCGGCACCTCAGTAAAATATTCTAAAGGGAGAAAACAGGGGCATGAGGAGCGGATGGGGGCCAAGGAAAATCACTACCACCGTAAAATATTCTAAAGGGAGAAAACACAGCATCCATCAGGAACGTCTCTGCCCACCATGGTGTTCTGCGAGCTGCCCCTGGATCAAGCTCTTCCTGAAACCCTCGACTGCGACACCCACACCTCCCAGGCTCAGGTCAGGAAGGGCTGGGAGGGGCTGCCTACCTCGAGGGTCCTGCAGCCGAGACCTCCGACAGTGGAGCTCCAGCTCCTGTTGGCAGTGCCTGGCGCGGTCTACGCTGGCCAGCAGCTGCTCTGCACTGGCCGTGTACTGGAACACTGCCCGGTGCGGGTTCTCCAGGCTCGCGCCCTTGACCCTGGTTAAGGCCGAGCCGTTGTGCTGCAGCACTGTCCACGGAACATCTCCAGGGCGAGAGCAGGAGAGAGAGGAGAAGGAGTGTCACTAGCAGCACACACAGACCCCGGGTGCCCACTGGTCCTGAGACGTCAGAGTCCAAGAATCAGATTAATAGGATTCTAGAACATTAGGTCCTGAGAAGGGGTGGCCTCTTGTTACGATTTGTGTTACTCAGTATCCAAGGGGACCCAGTCACGAACATGCGTGTTTCTAGGTATTTAGCCAGATGGAATGTTATAGGCGAAAAAGTAGAAGAAATGGTCATTAACATTTTGTAATGATCTAAAATTAGGCAAACCACACCTTCTCTACTCCTAAAATGTGCTTTTCACTGCTGCACAAGAGCCCTGTGGGCACCCCTGGTACCTCTGCAGCCCTGATCCTCTGGGTGTTCCCTTCCTTCCTCACTAGGCACCACTCAGGAGGCCACTGGCCCAGAAGGGTCGGCTCCATGGCTTAGGCCCGGAAAGGCAGGATGAGGCTGGTCCCTCCTGTGCCTTGGCCCTGGCCCAGCTTCCCTGGTGTTGAGAATGAAACCTGCCCTGCACGCCGAACGCTGTGCGGGAGGAGGCACGTGGCCGCTCCAGCCCCACCCAGTGTGTGCAGTCCAGACACCTGGCACCATCCGAAACTGGAGGCTGTGCAGTATGTTCTCATCGGGACTTGTCAAATTAGAGCCCGTGACACCGTCATTGGACTTGGGTTTGTGCCTGCCCCTCTGTTACCTTCTCCTTGCAGAAGCCCCTCCTGCGTGTCCTGGCAAGTGCAACCTGGACCAGGGGAGTGAGACGCAGCCACAGACCGCTGCCAGCTGCATTCCAGACCACTCCACCCTGAGGCTGGACCCCTAGCCCTGGACCCTCTACTGGTCCCAGTGTGACTGACAGGTGAGGCCTCAGAGCCCAGGAGAGCAGCGAGGGCGAGGCCAGCAGCCAGAAGGGTCCCTGGAGAACCACGGCCTGGAGTCTGCAGAGAAACACGCATGGGCCATGAAGGCTGTGGCTGAAGGAGGCGCTGCCCACACGACCCAGCCAGCAAGTGGCTAGCCTGTTTTCCCCGCCTGGGACTCCCAGACGCACCTCCTTTCCCGTCCTCTCCTCTACATGAAGCCCCAGTGTTTCATCTGGCAGAAAGGTGTGGTCCCAGTGACCCCAAGAGGGGCCGGGTAACATTTTGATCATGCGTTCTGCGCCTGTGGCTCGATGGCAGGAGTCGTCACGGGGCTCACTCTGTCCTCAGTGATAGGGTTCCCTCAAGGCAGAAATCGCCCACCCGCTTTGGAGGTAAAAGTGTTCTTGGCCGAGTAGAGGCATGAGTTGCAAACAGGGCGGGGCTCTGCCTGCACGACCCTGGACACACTGCTCCTTTAGGGGATGGCCACTGGAGAAGCCAAATTCCAGCACAGCCAGGGGTGCTCTGCATTGCCAGCCTAAGTGTGGCTCCCAAAATTCATGTGCTGACATGTGAACATGTGGAAATCTGAGGTTCTAACCCCATGACCTCGAATGTGGCCTTATTAGGAGCAGGGTGGTTGCAGATGAAATTAGACAAGGCAAGGCCATAGTGGAGCAGGGCCAGCCTGATCCAACCCCACTGTCCTTGTGAAAGGGGAGATTTGAACACACACACACACACACACACACACACACACATGAAACAACACCGTGGAAAGATGCAGGCAGAGATGGGGGTCTGGGGGTCCCTAACAACCATGAAACACCAAACACTGGGAGAAACCCTGGGAGCAAGGGAGAGACCTGAACAGAGACCCCTCAGAGCCTCGGTGAACGGGGAGAGGCCTGAACAGAGGCCCCCTCAGGGCCTTGCGCACTGACCCTCTGACGCCTTGGTCCTAGATGTCCAGCCCCCAGACCGCACAAGAATGCACTCCCGTTTCTGCAGCTGACCAGTCCCGCTGCTTTCTTCCAGATCCCAAGCCGGCTGCCATTCTAGAGTCGGACAAAATGGAGCTGGAGGGGCCTCTGGCGTCGCCCATCAAGTCTCCCTGTCCCAGTGCCAGCGTGACCAGGGGCCACCTGCCTGTTGCCGCCACCCCATCCTCAGGCTGCTCCGTACCCTGGCCTGGCTCGCTGTCTCTCCAGGGCACCTGCCTGACTTCCTGCAGACGCTGGGCTACAGGCAAAAGCTGTCAGACTTTATGGGGGGTCTGACATACTGAGGGGATGAAAATGAAAAACTTCCTTAGGATTTTTTAACCTATTCGAGTCATCGTAAGAAATATACCCATAAATGAATATTTTAAGGGAAATTAAGTTCCTTACAGGCCATATTAGTCTGCTTGGGCAGCCCGAGCAAAGTACCAGACCAGGGGGCTTGGAACAGAAATCTCCCCCAGTTCTGCAGGCCACGGGTACAAACTCAGGGTGCCAGCTGGGCCGCGCTCCCTCTGCAGATGCTGGTGACACCCCTTCCTTGCCTCTTCCGGCTTCTGGGGGTGCCAGAAACCCTTGGCTTTGTTTGACTAGCAGCCACATCACTCCAGCTTCTGCTGGTCTTCACACAACCATGTTCCCTGTGGGCGGGTCCGGGTCTCCAAACTTCTCTTTCCTCCTAAGGACACTGGTCACTGTGTCTGGGGCCCACCCTAATTCCGTACAACCTCATCTGCACTGATTAAGTCTGCAAAGACCCTCTATCCAAATAAAGTCCCATGCAGATTCCAGGTCGGCATGAATCTGGAGGGCATTGTTCAGCCTCGTGCATGGGAGACACTGAGATCCGGGTGGACACCTGCACCTGCTTTACTTTTTGTTGTTTCTATGGTTCTGAACATTGATCCAAAACTTGGCAGAGTGGAGAATTTGCAGAGGTAAACGTTCCCCTGCCAGGTGCAGCAGGTGGGTTGCCTGCTCTGTCGCAGGGCAGTGAGGAATATACTTCAGGGTGGAGGCGTCCGAGCTGGACCAAGGGACACAGATCGGCATTGAGGGGAGGGGAGGCACAGTCGCTGGCTGGGACAGGATACACAGACATGGCCATCGTTATAGAAACAGACCCCACAGTGCTCGGGATCCAGGGTCAGGCTCTACTCAGGCTCACAAGAGCTCAAACGTGAAGGCATCTCTGTTCAGGCTCAGGAAAAGTGCAAATACTCTTCCGACTACACATCCACTCATCCAATCAGGTAAGTCAGGAAACGTTTTGTTTTGAAATTTGAGATGGATTAGAGACTTAAATGTTAGACCTAATACCATAAAAATCCTAGAGGAAAACCTAGGTAGTACCATTCAGGACATAGGCATGGGCAAAGACTTCATGTCCTAAAACACCAAAATCAACCAAGCAGCAAAAAGCCCAAAATTGACAAATCGGGAATCTCATTAAACTAAAGAGCTTTTGGCACTCAAAGAATACTACCATCAGAGTGAAAGGAAGCCTACAGAATGGAGGAAAATTTTTTGCATCCTACATCATCTGACAAAGGGCCTAATATCCACGAACCCAACAATAAAAAAAAAAAACAAACAAATAACAACAGAAACCCTACAAAGAACTCAAATCAAATTAAAAGAAAAAACACAACAACCCCATCAAAACGTGGGCAAGGCAATATGAACACGAACTTTTCTCAAAAAACAGACCATTCATACAGCCAAACAGACACCATAGAAACAAATGTTCCATCATCAACTGCGCATGCAGAGAAAATGCAAATCAAAACCACATGAGATACCATCTCCACACCAGGTTATGATGGCGATCATGAAAGAATCAGGAAACAACAGTGCTGGGAGAGGGAGTGGAGAAATAGAGACACTTTTACACTGTTTGGTGGGATTGTAACTAATTCACCATTATGGAAAACAAGTATGCGATTCTCCAAGGATCTAGAAGTAGATTACCATATGACCAGCAGCAACCATTACTGGGTATTAAAATCCAAAGGATTTAAAATAAATTAAATGGCTGCATAAAGACACATGCACACGTATGTTTACTTGCAGCCACTATTCACAATAGCAAAGCTTGGAATCAACCCAAATGCCATCAGTGACAGATTTGAATTAGAAAATGTGGCACATATACCACCTATGGAATACTCATCGCAGCCAATAAAAAGAGGAATGAGTTTGTGTCCTTTGTAGGCACATGGATCAGCTGGGAAACCATCCATCACTCTTGCAACTCACACAAGAACCAGAAACAAAACCAAACAACCGCATGTCATCACTCACATAGGTGGGAATGAACAATGAGATCACTCTGGACTCAGGAAGGGAAACATCACACACCAACGGGGCCTAATCATGGGAGGAGGGGAGGCGGGAGGGACTGCATTGGGCAGTATGACCTGTGTAAATGACCGAGTTGTGGTGAGCAGCACAAGCAACACATGGCACAAGTCAACACATATGTAAAAACCCTGCACTTATGCACATGTACCCACAACTTAAAGTATAATAATAATAATAAATTTAAAAAAAAAAAAAAAAAATAAGATATGGAAAACAGTTATAAGCTTGATGTTCACAGAATCGATTTTTATAATGGTCAAAATATTATAAAGCTAAAAATGTCAGTAGGTAGGTGATTGGTTTAATAAATCATGGGATATCCCCATAATGGAATAGTCATTAAAAATGATAGCTGTGAAAGTTAGCAACATGGAAAAGCATTTGTGATTTAAATCTGAATAAAAAATGTATAAATGTCGTGACTTACAACCGTGAAAAAGTATACATAGAAAAAATATCAGAAGGAAAGAAACTAAAGCAATAAAAGTCATGTTAAGATGAAAAAAAAAAAAAAAAAAGAAATTTGACAGGCCAGGTTTTACTATTAAATATTTCACAAAAAAGAGCACTTGCACAGAAATAATATCATTATGGATTTTTGCTTTTGTACTATCTGTTCAAGTTTTATAACTATGACTTTTATTGAATAATGACTTACCTAATATACCTTCTAACAAGGTAAATTTCTACTAGGTGAGCTGCAATTGTGAGTTCAAGCTGTCACGCTTAAATCAAACATTGTAACTCACCTGTCATGTTACAAAATGCCTGGAATGGCTTCAGGGGTCCGCTGCCATCTGGGTCGATGTTGTAGAATCCTGAGGCGTGGCCGAGGTGCTTGTAGGCCTCACAGGAGGGCTCGTAGAGAGCTGGGGGTCATCCAATCATTCGCCATACACAAAATAAAACGTAACAGAACTCTCAATGTTTCAAATTAGGAGATGAGGGAGGTTCCAAGTCCTGCCTTATGGTAAATATCCACCCTCCAGGGGAAAATATGAACATGTATTAAAATACAAAACTATTTTTGACATAATATGTGTGCTAATATACTTAACTGTAAAGAAGAGGAGTGCTGCAACTATTTTTATAGCACTTTTAAATCCCTAAAGTCAAATAAAATTACCCAGTCTGGTGGAAAGTTCTGTTCACTGTTACCTTATGTGACAAGGAAACAGGTGGAGAGCTGGGCTCAGGCGCACTCACAGGTGGGAGTGACGTCTTTACTGTCACAGGTGACGGGATTCCGTTTGGCTGGGTCCCCCTCCTGCCACCTCATTTTCGAGAGTGGCCTCCCCGCCTCACCTCTGAGAGCCGACTCCCTGCCTCACTTCCGGGAGCGTCTTCCCTGCCTCACCTCCGAGAGCAGCCTCCCCACCTCAACTCCGAGACCTACCCTCCCCGCCTCACTTCCCAGAGCAGCCTGCCCGCCTCACCTCCCAGAGCCACCTCCCCGTCTCAACTCCGAGACCTACCCTCCCCGCCTCACCTCCCAGAGCCGCCTCCCCGTCTCAACTCCGAGACCTACCCTCCCCGCCTCACTTCCCAGAGCCGCCTCCCCACCTTGCCTCCCAGAGCCGCCTCTCACCTCCGAGAGCCGCCTCCCCGCCTCACCTCCCAGAGCAGCCTCCCTGCCTCAACTCGGACTACCTCCCCACCTCACTTCCCAGAGCTGCCTCCCCGCCTTGCCTCTGAGAGCCGCATCCCCGCCTCACTTCCGGGAGTGTCCTCCCCGCCTCACCTCCGAGCACCGCCTCCCCGCCTCGCCTCTGCGAGCGTCCTCCTCGCCTTGCTTCCTAGAGCCGCCGCCCCGCCTCAACTCCGAGACCCACCTCCCTGCCTCACCTCCCGGAGCCGCCTCCCCGCCAGCCACTGGGGATTGGCTTCCCCTTCACCTCTCTTTGCTCTCCTTGGAAGAGCCACAGTGAAGTCGGCTCAGTGTGAGTTCGCTTGTGGGTCACAGTTAAGAACCACTCTCTTATCTTCTGGTGGTTTTCTCAGAGTGCTTGGAATCACAGTTGCTGATAACCATTAAGAAAAATGGATGCCCCAAAGCATATTGATGGGGGCACCTGCTCTGTGGGTGATGCTACTGGGCATGACGGAGGATGACTGTGAAGAGAGGATGGTCCTTGTGCCAGCGCCTCTGCCCCGGCCAGGCAGCGAGGCTTGGGTTCCCAGGTCTGACCTCCAGCATCAAGTGAGGGGAGCTGGTCCCAGGGGCTCCCCGTGCAGGGCCCTCTGGTAAGTGTGCAGGGTGAGGGCAGGTGCAACGGTGCAACGGGGCCCCCACCATCGCCTCCCCTCCCTCCCCTGCGCTGAAGCTGCTGTGTGGACCCGCGGAGGGAAGCTGCTTATGGAGGTGACGGGTGTGGACCCCGGGGAGAGAAGCCGCTTACAGCGATGGCACGTGGCGCCCGTGTACCCGGTGCTGCTGCAGTCACAGTGGAAGGCCGTCCAGGTCTGGGAGCAGGTGCCCTCGTGCTCGCAGTAGTTGGGTAAACACCTGAAAGAAGGACACAGATGGTCGGTGTTCACACTTGGTCACTGTGAAATGTGGGTCCTGTGGCAGGGCGAGTCCAGCTGTGGGCACAGAGTTCAAATGGGCGGGGATGTGGAGGGATGTCCTTAAGAACTTTGCTCCCAACCCTAAACCCCAAGCTAATAAACCTGTCAGGCTCAACCGACTGCCCTGTGTTTGGCTTTGAGGCAGCGGGACTTGCAGTTCTTCCCTTGGTGTTGGAGAACTCTGTTTTTATGTCACAATAACACAACATTGACTTTACATGTGGCCAGGAATGACAATTTCTTATAGAAAATAACAGTGATATTTTATCACATTGAAATGTTCTGTGACATTAATTCCTAGAAGGAAGACTGGAAGGGGAGGAGAGAGACTGAGAGGAGAGGAGGGAAGGGAGGGAGGACAGGGGCCGAAGGGACAGTCAGGTACACTTCCGTCTACACATGGCACTGGCCCGGGACCCACGGATCCTTCATTGCAGGCCTGGATGCCATTGTTAAGATTCTTTTTCCATTTAGAATTTAGAATAAAAGCCAGCTACCACCAGAGTTTTATGTGCATTTTGTTTTCCCAAGAAAATTGAATAAATCTGGAAACGGAAAACCCAACGGCCATCTAAGCATGGATGGATAGTTTGCCATAGGCCTCATTAACGTTAAGATTGGGACACTTGAAATTTCACTTACAGGACTTTTGTAATTTTAGTAGATTATGGTAAAACTAATTTTCTTGAATATAAAAAAGTAAATGTTTTATTATTTTTATTATTCAACTAACCCAGAAAAGTACAAAAAAGAAGGTAAAAGTCATTTGAAATCCTAGCATATAAAATAACCACTATAGTTATACATGTGTTGATGCTTATATTTAAGTATATACAATATAAATGTACATGGCAATTTTGCAACCTATCAATGATTCATTAGTATGTATGAGTATTTCTGTGTCGACAAATTTATATTAGCAATTTTGATAGTTCAAAGAAATCTATTAACATAGTTATCATCATGGATTTAAAATGTTACATATTTGAATTTAATAGAAACCAAGGGTGATAAAGAGAATTGATGAACAATTAAAATCAATAGCAAAGACACTAACACTAGTGATTGATCGGATACACAAATGCCGAACTGTGTGTTTTTCCAGATGTAAAAGGGATTTGAGCCTGTGAGGAGCTAAGTTCCTTGTGTAGAAACCGAAGCCTGAGTCTCTGTCTGCCAGCAAATGGGCTGTTTCCTCACTCATCTGCGTTTCCCAATCCACTGGCTCAATCCCTTGTTTGTATTTTAGGGTTGGAATGAGACTGCACTGTTGTAAAATAAAAGGAGGAAGAGTTAGCTCAAGACCGTCCCCCTGGTGCGCCTGGACCTGGATAAATCGCTGCCCTGTGGCCTCCACCTCACCCAACGCCCCCCATGTCTCCACCCCAAGTCCTTCTAGCCCCTAAAGCGCTGCCTGAGACGTCCCCATCATGATTTTCATCTTGTGTGAACTTCTCCAGATAAACAAGCCACCTCTCAGAAGGTGAGGTTGTGTGAAAGAGCCTGACGTGCACCAATTCCCTCCCATCTCTGTCTTCATTTCCATTACAAGAACCGGAGCGGGGATTCCCGGAAGCCAGTGGGTGTCCTTCTCTGCCTGCTCACGCCTCCCCTCCGGAGTCCAGGGATGGGGAAGGGGCAGCAGCATCTTCCCAGCCCCCAGCCTGGCAGCACTTTCTTTCCTCCCACCTGAGCCCCTGGGCCCGCGGCTGGGAAGGTGGTTTCAGACTGCACCCATTGTTTCTGGAAACGGGAAGGAAGGACGCGCAGCCGGTGCTGGTGGGCGTGAGTGTGCGTATGTGATGTGTCAGCGCCTGTCACACTGCGTGTTCTGCCTGTGTTTGTGTGTGTGGAGACTCCTCCCTCAGTGTGCAAGATCTGGACTGTAGTGATTGATGAGTTTGTTATGACTTAAAACATGGATTCTGCACACACAGAGCGGGGCCTTCCCTTTCTGAATTAGTGAAGTGCCGGTGCCGTTTCACAGGAGGTTGTGTTCCCATCAAGTCCTGTCCTGGCAGGAACAGTTGTGGGGGTTTTCCCCAGTTCTGAGGGGCAACGAGGAGCCGGACCGATGCATCGTCACTGGACAGAGGCACCTGGGGCCTGCAACTCTCCTAACACAGAGAAATGAATACTTACGGGGACTTTAATCTGGAGAAGAAAGTGTTCAGAAATCAAGGTTTTCAAATACTTGAATTGCGAATGTGTGCCAGAGGGCGCAGAGGCGGTCAGCTCAGCCAGACGTAGACAGAGGTAAATGGTGCTCAGCTCAGCCAGACGTAGACAGAGGTAAACAGGTAGACACACGGAATGGAGTCACCAGCGATGGGCAAGGCGAGGTGGCAGGGACAGGGTTTACCTCCCACTCGACACAAGCACACACAGTGGCCATGCACATGGCGTGGTCACTTGTTTTCCAGACACTGGTCATCAGGCAGGGAGGCCGTCATTCCTACGAGATGGGCACCTGGCACGCGTGCCCTCTGCTCATCGCAGGCCCCTCTGGAGTCTTCAGACTGTGAGGAAGGAAGGCAGTGGGGTCCTTGGGGAGCCTGGAGATCCCGAGTTAAGGAAGGCAGGGAGGGCAGCTCTGACAGCCAGGGAGAACTCCACAGATCCAGAGGGGCCCCGAGAATATTCAGTGCTGGTCACCGAGTGCAGAGGGGAATCCGCCTGGGGCCAGGGAAAGGACCCCCAGGATCAGCAGGAGCAGCAGCCTGGCTGGCACCAGGCAGGGCACCGGCTTTCACAGGAAGGAGGGCAGCCCGGCCACACAGAGCATGGACTCAGAGCATCCGGCCTCAGCCCTGGAGAAGAGCGACCCTGAGACCAAGTGCTGCTCAGACTCACAGATCTCACAATCGAAACAGAAGAGACGTGGCTGTGTCCGGTAACAAAGCTAAAGAACACTGACAAGATGGTTGTCATGTCATACAGCACCAAGTAAGGCGAACCCCAGAGCGTGGCCCTGAACACTCACAGGACGCACGTCACACAGCACCAAGTAAGGCGAACCCCAGAGCGTGGCCCTGCATCAAGCGTGTGCAGGCGGGCAAAGGAAAATGAATCAACCAAACCAGCCCCAAATGTAGATGCTGCTCTCATAGACAGGGAATTTGTTCTCGTATGTTCGGAAATTAAGTAGAGACATGGAAGTTATTAAAAAGCACCAACTAGAGATGATATTACAAGTCTAACATGAAAACAACACTGAGTGGCTTTAAGATTAGACATTGCCATAAAGATGAGTGAACACAGAAAAATAAAAAGAAATCATCTGAAGGAGACAGGAAAGATAACTTTAAAAGCAAAAACAAAGCATTTGTGGGCTGTAGGACAACTCCAGGTGTTCAGTTCTACATGTCATTAAGTTCCTAAAGATGGGAAAGAAGGAAGAAGAAAAAAATAGAATAAATAATGACAGAAAATTCCCCAAATTTGAAAAAATTAGAAACACACAGATCCAAGAATCCTAATGTCCCACAAGCACAATATATAAATAAAGCTACCCTAAGGTACCTCATAATCAGATTGCTTAAAATCAGTTAGAAAGACAGAGATCTTACGTGCATCTATAGAAAATGGCGCATTTTGTCCAGCGGAACTCAGGCAAGGCTAACGGAAGATTACCTGTGGCGGCTGCCATTAAAATGAGGAGGGAAACCCTCTTAGGACTTTATGCCCGGTGAGAATATATTTCAAAACCAAAGGTGTTGGAAAGATGTCACCAGGCACAAAAATGCTGAATGAATTCATTCTCAACAGCCCTGAAAAGTGAATGTTAGAAGAAGTTCTGGAGATGGATGGAAACGGACACCAGACGGTCATACTCATCTACACAAAGCACCCGGGGGCAGCAGGGGGACTCACGTGTGTGCGAGTGTGTGTTGTTATGTAAAATGTTTTATAAAAGACTTGACTGTTTAAGCAAAAGCAAAAACGTGTGAGGATTGACAATGTAAGCAAAATAAAACATAGCAATGATGCACGCAGGCCAGGGAGGAGTGAGAAGACAGGTCTGTGGTTCTTCAGCTGCGCTGGAAGTGCCGTAATCTCCTTAAATTATCTGCAGATTCAACAAAATCCTAAGCAGACTCTCAGAAGAATCTTCTAAAGGAATTTACAAGCTACTTCTAAACTTCATATAAAAGTGGAAAGTCCTAAAGTAACCAAAGTGATTTTGAAAAAACAAAGAGTAAAACAACCTGATTTCAAATATTATTGTTCAGAAATTATAATTTCTAAAATGTGGTATTGGCATAAAGTTGGAAAAATAAAGGAGCTCAATGCAGAGCCCAGCTATGGACCCAGATGTGTTTATGGACAAATGGATTTCATGAAGGTACACAGGCAGTGAAATAGGCAGAGGACAGGCTTTTCATCCAGTGGTGCTGGATATTTGCATGCAAAGCAGAACAAAACAAAACAAGCAAAACTCTGCATAGCTCGCTCCATCTATAAAATAATCCAAAATTAATCACAGACCTAAATGAAATCTAAACCACAAATCTCTAGAATTAGACATACAGAAAATCTTTGTGACCTCACGTTAGTCAAAGATGTCTTAAGAATAATCCATAAAAGAAAAAAAAACTTGGACTTCATCAAAATTAAGAACTTGTGCTCTTCAAGAGATACTTTGTTAAGAGAATAAAAGAACAAAAGGAAGACTGGAAGAAAACATTTGCAAAGCATGTAAAGAGCTTCTATCCAGAATATCACAACGGACTCTCAACACTCACTAAGAAAACAAGGGATCCAACTCAAACAAATGTGCGCAAGGTTTGAGTAGACATTTCTTTAGAGCAGGTGCTCAGATGGCAGGTGAGCCCATGACAAGGCCATTCGCGCCATTCATCACCCGGTACACACAGGTGGAAGCCAGGGCGACAGACCGCCGCACACCTGCTGAGTGGCAGAAATTGAAGATGGACCGGACCACGTGCTGGCAAGCATGCAGGAAAACGAATTCTCACACACTGCTGGTGGGAACGTGAGAGTTGCAGTCACTTTAGAAAGCGTAGCAGCTTCTCAAAAAACATTCAGCCACCTCTCCATAGTTTTCAGCTATTTCCTGACCGATGTTTACCCAAGGTCAATGGACCCATTTCTACAGAGATGCTTGCCCTGGAATGCTCACAGCTGCTTTGTGTGCAATAAGGCCAAAGCAAGCAGATCACCTGAGGCCGGGAGTTCGAGACCAGCCAGACCACCATGGAGAAACCCCAACTCTACTAAAAATACAAAATTATCCAGGTGTGGTGGCGTGTGCCCGTAATTCCAGCTACTTGGGAGGCTGAGGTAGGAAAATTGCTTGAACCTGGGAGGTGGAGGTTGTGGTGAGCTGAGATCACGCCCTTGCCCCAGCCTGGGCAACAAGAGCAAAACTCCATCTCGAAGAAGAAAAAAAAAAAAAAAAGGAAAGAAAAATTGGAAACAATCAAAATGTTCATCAATGTGGAAATGGAGAGACAGACGGTGTCCTCACACACAACGGCAGGGCTGTGTGGCTAATGTGTGGGCTTCCTTCATTATCTCCCAGAGCACACAAGCATAAGACATGCTTTTAAATGTTAAAGACAAAACTTATCGAGATAGAACCCGGTCCAGGGTTACTACTATACATAACTGTATCTGTCATGCAAAATGCTACTTCTGCTTTGTATTACTTCCTTAAATCTCAACCTGAAGTTGGATTTTAAAAACTAAATTCACATCCATGATCTTTGTCTAAGTTCATAAATATTCGAGTATTTTATGTGTGGTACTATAATGACAAATTTGTCCATGCGATGTTTAAAATCTACTTTACTTAAATGAGTTTCACATCAAACTGGATTAAACAGATTCTGTATGAAGAACTGTCATCGTGTGAGGATATTTTCACACACAGAGGTGGGTGGGTGAATTGCCAAGTTACAAAAAGAGTTTCCTGTGAGCTGAACGTTGGTGGGCACAGCAAAGCCCCAGCACTGCCTGCGGGTCAAGACACAGGGAGTCCCCCCGGCCCTGCCAGGCCTGTTCACTGCGAGGTCCTCCCACCGCCAGGGAGCAAGATGGGGAAGCCTCGTCCTCAGCAGGTCTGTGCCCCCGAACTGCGTGACTGACATGTGAGGCCACAGTTTTTACACCCAAACACCACTTAATCAAAAACTCGAAGTTCAGGTTTACTGGCTAAAGTCTTCTTATACAAATTTTTATCAGAGAATTTTCCACTTAAAATTAGTGTAATGTGTACATATGGGGAACTGCCTCTGAGTTTAAAAAGTGGCGGGAAGCCATTTAAGTGGTGGGAATTGTGTTTTCTTTATTGTCAAAGATGATTTGTAAATGGTAATACGTTTGGTGAAACACAGCACTGGGTTCCAATGATTTTTTAAATGAGGACTAGGAGATTCAATACACCTGAAGAGAGATTTAAAAGTATTTGAAAGCTTTTTCTGACTGAATTCCTTGCCCTGGTGAAAAAGGAGGGTTTTCAAACTGCAATGTTTATTCAAAAACATATTACCACTTACAACAGGAAGGGCATGGGCCCAGCTGTTCTGTTTGCCCACGTAATTCCGGTTCAGAGCCTGATCGTCTCTGCCACACTTCAGCTTTCCCAACACTTCCCCGTGTTTTGCCCTCCAGAGGCTCCTCTTCAAGGACCCACGGACGCCTGCGGCGCCTTCCACAGTATCCAAGAGCCGTGCCTTCCACCCAGCACTGTCACCTGAAACAAGCTACTGTGTGCAATTGTCGACACTGTCTTCCTGACTTTTCACGGGAAACAGCCCTCTCACTTCCTGTGATGCGGGCTGGGGAGAAAAATCGTTTCCCTTGTGGACGTCCACTCCGAGCCCTTCCAGGTGGGGGAGACACCGTTTCCCCTGTGGACGTCCACTCTGAGCCCCTCCTGGGCTGCCCTCACACTCTGAGCCCTTCGCTGCCCTCACCTGTCCAGGATGCCGCAGGTGTCAATCAGAAGGTCGCTGAAGTTCCCCACAGTGCCCTGCTGCACGGAGATCAGATCCACCTCCTGGCCGTCGATGGAGATGAGCCGCAGACACCCCTGGAATCCGCCCAGTGGTCCCAGCGATCCGCTGCAGTCAGAGCCAGAGCCGTGAGCGGGGCACCCTGAGTTTCAGAGGCACAGGAGGCAAGAGGAAGAGGGTAATGGGTGGACACAGTGTTGGGGTGTGGGCGGCCGGTTGCACTCCCCCTGACGCCAGGCTGCCTTCCATCTGTGGGCGGGGCTGCCTGCTCATCGGGAAGAGGGAGGATGAAAGGTCAGCAGAGCATAAAATAACCCTGGAGGCAAGAATGTAAGAAGATGAGAAACCCTGAGAATTTCAAATTCACCCTGAACTCAATGCCCTTTCTTAAAGTATACTAGAAATTTAACTCTTTTTACCATGACAGATCTTAAGGGAAAAACCTAAATGCACATGGATTTACAATTAGAAACGAAATAACAGGTCTTATTATTGTACATACAAACAGCTAAAATGTTAGAGTCTGGAGAATATCAGGCCAGAAGGTGACTGGGCACCCCCACTGAGGCTGGTGTGCCGGCCACACACCATAGCAGCCTCGCCCGTCAGCTCAGGTGTCCCAAAGACTTGCTTCAGCAGAAAAAGAAAAACTTACACGTGTTTTTCTAACAACCATTTTTGTTTTGGGTGAGTTGGTCAAACATATAATCAAAAATTAAATTTCAACATGACATCTTAATACCATTAAAAAGTAACAGTCATGCAATAGCAGATACCTCATCCAAATGTGTGGTGAAAGAAGGAAGTGTGCATTTGATTCTCCGAGTTAGGCCAGCATCGTTTTCCCAACCACAGCCCTGGACCCCAGGAAGCAGCTCCCGAGCCTCACCTCTGCCCGGCCGCCTGGGACCCCTGCGTCCAGCTTCCTGAGGTCTGTCCTACCCCCTCCCTCCCTGCCCCCAACCCTGCCAAGGAGAAGGAGCCGCTGCCAGAGAGGAGCCTGCAGCCACAGGCCAGGGTGAGTGGCTCAGCAAGGCGGCCGCTGGGGTCCCTGCGTGGGGAGCACACGACACCCCAAGTCAGTCAGGGGGTTTCCTAATCAACACCACATGCAGAGAGGCCCGGTCCCATGCATTTCAGCATTCATGTGGTTTCATGCCTGTGACGGTTACTACTGAGTGTCCCCTTGGTTGGACTGAAGGATGTGAAGTACTGATGGGTGCGTCTGTGAGGGTGCTGCCGAAGGAGACCCACATTCGAGTCAGTGGCTGGGGAAGGCAGATCCACCCTTAATCTTGTGGGCACCACCTAATCAGCTGCCAGCAAATATAAAGCAGGCAGGAAAACATGAAAGAGATACGGCCTAACCTCCCCGCCCACATCTATCTCCCGTGCTGGACTCTTCCTGCCCTCGAACATGGGACTCCAGGTTCTTCAGCCTTGGCACTAGGACTGGCTCTCCTTGCTCCGCAGCCTGCACACGGCCTATTGTGGGACCTTGTGATCGTGTGAGTTCATGCTTCATAAACCCCCTTTCGCTAGTTCTGTTCCGTTCCTCTAGAGAACCCTAATCCAATGCCAAACATTCTTGAGAGAATCTGGTTTTCAGACCTTAGCTCTTCTACCTCACAAAATAATGACTCATTAACCTCTAGCACCAGAGCATGATTACAGATAAAAGTACTCGATAATTGTTTTAAATTTAGAAAAGCTTCCACTTATTTAAACATGAGAAAGTACTATACCGTATTCCTATGTAAAACGTAGGTTTATGGTCATTAGATGCTCTCTGCTTAACTGAAATAAGTCACTTTGGGAAGAATGGAGTTCACCCACCAAATGTAAGGGTTTTTTTTTTAAGAACTCCCTTGTGGCCCTCTGTTAATTGTCAGTTGTAAATGTCTAAGAACTGAGGATAAGGGAGTAAGAATCACGCTGCATCTTAATTCTTGCCCCAGTCATACTGGTTTTCCATGAAAAATTACATGCTAAGTTTTCCTCTATGTTTGAATAATAGCCATAACTATTCAACACTTTCTCTCCCAATAATTTACATTCATATGACAGATGAGCTCATGCATGCCTCGCCTCTCTCCAGTCATTGTAAAGCACATTACTATGCTTTATATCAGCCTCATGGAAATTTGAGATTTGAAATTAAAAATGAGGTCACAGGAACCTGGGTAGACTCTGAGGCCTTCCCTTGGTCATTTTCTCACTTTAGGGGTGAAACCCGAAGTTCAAGCGGTTCGGTGTCCACCGAAGCTCGGGCATAATAGATTTGGCTTCTCTCTACGGACGGGGTCTATTTTACCTTTTCACGATGGGTTGAGCTCCCTTATCAAAAATGCTTGGGGCCCAAAATGCTTCAGATTTGGGATATTTTCAGATTTTGGAATATTTGCATTACACTTACCAGATGAGCACCTCAAACCTGAAAATCCAAGATGCAAATTGCCCCCATGCTGGCCGGGTGCGGTGGCTCACGCCTGTAATCCCAGCACTTTGGGAGGCCAAGGTGGGTGGATCGCTTGAGGCCAGGAGTTCGAAACCAGCCTGGCCAACATGGCATAACCTGTCACTTCTAAAAATACAAAAATCAGCCAGGCATGGTGGCGGGTCCCTGTAATCCCAGCTATTCAGACACTGAGGCAGGAGAATCACTTGAACCTGGAAGGTGGAGGTTGCAGTGAGCCGAGATTGTGCCACTGCACTCCAGCCTGGGCGACAGAGTGAGGCTCCATCTAAAAAAAAAATGCTCCCATGAGCATTTCTTTTGAGCATGATGTTGGCACTCAAAACGTTTTGAGTTTTGCAGCATTTTGAATTTTGGGGTTTTGGATGTGGGGTGCTCCATCTGCTTTTACCGACTGGGGCTGGAAGGACAGTCACGCCGTACAAACCTGGAGTAACCTTCAGATTCCAGAACAGTAATGGCGCTGAGCATCTCCCTTTTTCTTAAAACATATTCTCTCACTCTTTCCGAACAAACTCAGTTCTGAAACTTTGAACAAAAGTGGCGATGGCGGTCACAGGGAATGGCCGTGTGGCTTCACGGAGAAACGCGTGTGCAGCTGGCTGACGGCTGCACCAAGAGGGAGCAAGGCGAGCCAAGAAGGGGTCGGCTCCACCCGCCCTCCGCAGACACGAGAGCCCCCAGCACTGAGATGCGCGGCAGAGGCGTACGGCCTGGAGCCCCCTGCGGAAGCGCCGAGATGTGACGATTCCTGGGGAAAGCCTAATCCTGGCTCCTCAGGGAGGCCGCAGGTTCTGCAGCTCCGAGGGGGTGAGCCGACCTGTGACCTGGTGTCTGCACCAGGAATTCTGACCCGGGACACTCAGAGAGCTCAGAGGGCAGCCCACAGACCAGGTGCCACCTGCCCAACGCCAGCACAGCGTGAAGCCGATGGCTCTGGCACCCACCAGGGTTTACGGGGATTTGCCATCTGCATCCTCTGCTCAGGGTCTGATGGAATAAACATGGAAAGTTGCCCCAGAACGCAGTGGAGCTGCCTGAAGCTCACTTCACGAGGAAAGGAAGGGGAGGTGACCAGTAAGCCAGTGACGGCCCCATGTGCGCGTGACAGGGTGGCACTGCTGTGTTCCTACCTGGACCACCTGCGGCCTAAGGAGCCCAACTGAGTAGCTGGAGGCCAGCGCGGACCCCCGACGTGTGGCAGTCACACTCAGGGCCGGCCACACATGCCTCCTGCCACAGCGTTCCTGACCGCCGTCCTGACTCGAGGGCAGTGCTGGAACTCTCGGTCAGGGCTGTCCCACAGGAGAGGCAAGGGGAAGGACCCCAGGAGGGTCTCAGAATGTGGCGTATGCGGTATGAAAAGACTCGGGCGGCAAGCCCTGAAAATACGACCTGGCAAACGAGATCCTGGTGGTGAGGGGCTCTCAGTTGTTAAATGTAAATTACACTCAGTAGAGCTGCTTGGGAAAAAAGTGAAGTTCTTTATATTTGCTGAACTGCTGGAGAATTAGCCACATATGATACAGCAAAAGTAATAAAAACAATCCCAGCCACCACATGCAAGGTGGGGAAGAGGAACACAAGGAGCCTGTGCATTCTCAGCCCCTTCACTCACCTCCAAAGTGGTAGGCATCGCCCGGGTGGACCCCCACAGGTACTGTGGTGTGGACGGTGGAGGCCACGTCATCGTCCACCATCACGCTCAGGTGGCCCCACGTGGATGTCACTGACACAGAATGCCATTGCCCGTCATTTAATCCAACACCTGCGGAAACCAAACCAGGTAAGACACAGCCATAAACCACAAACCTTGTAATTAGTTAGTTTGCTTATTTAATTAATTAATTAATTTAGAAACAGAGTCTCATGATCTCAGCTCACTGCATCCTCCACCTCCTGGGTTCAAGCGATTTCACCTGCCTCAGCCTCCCGAGTAGCTGGGATTACAGGCGCCCACCACCATGCCTTATTAATTTTTGTATTTTTAGTAGATATGGCGTTTCACCATGTTGACCAGACTGGTCTCAAAATCCTGACCTCAAGTGATTTGCCTGCTTCAGCCTCCCAAAGTGCTGAGACCACAGGCATGAGCCACCATGCCCAGTGTAACTATTTTTAAAAAGTGATACAAATCAGTGACTGCAACAAGCCCAGAAATCCGAACAAGGAGAGTGGAGGGAGCTCAGCCCGTCCTCTTCCCCCACAGGGCACATTCTGCCCCATCCCTAATGTCTGACATGCCCCTCACCTCGGGTGGGGGGAGTTCAGCCCATCCTCTTCCCCCCCAGGGCACATTCTGCACCATCCCTAACGTCCGACATCCCCCTCACCTGGCCCAGGACACCTTCCTGCTCCCACTCATGCAATTTGACTTTTGGGGAGGCACATAGAAATATCAAACTCTCCTCAACTTCAGCATACATTTTAAAAAGCCTTATGTGATTTTTCTCCTATTTCACAAACTTCAGGTAAGGACCCCGAATCTCCGTAGTAGCTACTGTGGTAGCTGAACCACCACGCGGTTGTGCTCTGTAAGGCAGAAGGTCAGTCCACGTGGCACGTCTAAGCACAGAGGCCAGGCCCGTCTCTCCTCACGCATCTGAAACGGCCACAAATCCCTCGCCTGGACAGAAAGGGACTGATGCCTCTAGACCACTCATGTCAGCACACAGCTCCACTGGGAGGCTGCTAATACTGAACCTCAGCCAGGAGCACGGCTACGGGGAGGCGTGGGGTCCCTGGAAGGTGGGGTTGCACCAGGGGTCAGGGAGGTGGAGGAGGCTGAGGAGGCTCGGGGCTGGGGGTCCTCAGTGCCTGACCTGGGGGACCTGGCTCTGGCGTTGCTGGTTCTGGGCAAGATGGGCTTTCTTGTGTTTTCCACCCTCCCTGTCCTATGCTGACACGGCAGGGGCTGCAGCGAGGGTGCACGGCTGGGTGGGCTGGGTCAGTGGAGGAGGGCGCAGCTCCACGGGAAGCCGGGACTCCTTAGGGTCACCAGATTCCCAGCCTGTCAGACGAGGCCAGACATCTGGGTTTCATTGCTGAATATCTTGATTTTAAAATGTTGGCTGTTGTTTTAAAATATTATTAAAAAAGAGAAAAAGCTCTGTCCAACAAACACATACCTGAGGGCAGCCGCTGCCCGGGACTGGCAGTGTTGGGAGCCCTGAAGGCAGAGGCAGAGCCAACCAGAAAAGACATCCGGTTAGGCATTTATTCATTCAGTACAATCTCAATCGTGAATCGCTCTTCAATTGTGGGTTATTCCTTAGGATCCCATCACCTTTCAAATGACTTTCAGTTTGATATTCACACGGGGAGTAAAGATTGAAAAGCATTTCATGGCATGCATAATTATATTTGACCCCTAATTGGTTGAAATAATATTTTTAAACAGTTTAACATAAAAATTTGCAAAGTTGGAAATTATATTGAAAACTTTACCTTCTAATTCAAAACTTTGTGCAAATTACAACTCAACCCAGCTCCATGCTCAACACAATTTAACTATAATTCCATGTAACAATCTTAATACATATCAGATTACCAGTTTAAATCTCTAATAACTAAGAAAAAACCCTTAAATAGAAAATTGTATTTATTATAATAATTCATAAGTATATTATTCTAGTTAAAAAGCCACTATATTGAGTTCCTATAGCTGTGCTTAAAATAACACCTGAATTATCAAATGCTGATTGTGTGAGCCATAGGTTAAAAATTTTTTGGTAGGCGCGGTGGCTCACGCCTGTAATCACAGCACTTTGGGAGGCCAAGGCAGGCAGATCACGAGATCAGGAGATCGAGGCCATCCTGCTGGTCAACAGGGTGAAACCCCGCATCTACTAAAAATAAAAAATTAGCTGGGCATTGTGGCAGGTGCCTGTAGTCCCAGATACTTGGGAAACTGAGGCAGGAGAATTGCTTGAACCCAGGAGGTGGAGGTTGCAGTGAGCTAAGTTCACACCACTGCACTCCAGCCTGGGCAACACAGTGAGACTCTGTCTCAAAAAAAGAAAAAAAAATGTGTATATTGTGAGAAAACTGTCAAATCATCTATGGTTTAATCAGATATGCTTCAAATATAACATTTGCTTGCTTTGCTAAATCTAGCAATAAACAATAATTTTTTTAAAAAAGAAAACTAAAAGGTGGGAATTGGTAGGAAAAATTCTGGTTTAAGTGTCCAAACTTTGATTTATCAGATGAATGGGTTCTGGAAATGCATGCACAGCATGGGAATGATAGTGAATCATGACCGTCCCTTGTTGGGACTGACTGGGAACTGCCCTCTGTCCCTCCCCAAGTGAGCCTCTCCACGGAGAGCTCACAACACAGCAGCCAGCTTCACCCAACAGAGCGAGAGCAACTCCCCAGTCAGAAGCTCTGGCTCCGCATCTTAACCTCCTAAGTGACAGCTATCACTCTGCCACCTTCTATCTATCAGACAAGCCTCCAAATCCAACTCGCCCTCTGCACAGAGCCGACTGGTGGCAGCAACCCCAGAGGATGGGGTCCCTAGGGCCACCTGGGTGCCCATCAGAGACTCATAATAAACTCCTTCTGCAGGAGAGTAACATTATTATAAATACTGAAACATCTATTATAATCTTATTCCCAGCAGTTTTTCAAATATTTACACCAACAGACTAGTTAAAAATGAGACTGGCTTTGTGGTGCTTATTAAAGTACCATCGCACTGATGCAGGTTCTTTCAGATGTTTAAAATTAAGCCATGCTTGAAATCTCTGCCAAGGACATCAGATCCATCACCATGAGCCATGTGATCATGACACACTTACTATAAATTAACATTTTTCTGATGATAATCTCGAAAGCTTGCTCACTGCTAAGATAGTGAATCTGATTTCTTTCTTTCTCACAAACCTAACTCATGTCAATTTATCTCATTATTAACATTAAGCAGGTGATCAAAGGACGGTGCTTAAAAATATCAAAGGGACTAGTAATTTTGGAGCCTCCACTTATTTTTCAGTGATGCAGGGAGTACAAACAGAAGTAAGTTTTAGAGCTATCTACAGAAGTGTGCATGCCTGCTTTTCTCCCCATTTCGCTTCCAAATCTCTTTCTTGCTCAGTTTCTGGCGATGTCCTATTTTGTTGCTTTGGGCACAGATGATGAGACAAGAGAGTGGACCCAGCGTTCCTTAAACATTCATGTCTGATGATTCCATGGAGGGCCTGGGCGTTATTCTAAACCAGCATATGTGTGACCCTGATCCCTCATCAAAGATTCCCGCGGCGACACGCAGAAGCAGTGCAGCCCTGCTAAAAGCTGTGCTCCAGCGTGGACTACGCGGGCCACAGCCTGTCAGAGATGGCACACCTGACCGTGCCAACGATACCGTGGAACTCAACCTCAGGGGCAGCACCCAGCAGCCAGCGCTCCCTCCATCCTGTGGAAAGGTGTTTATCGAGAGGATGTACGTGAAGGAAAACGTGTTACTGTGTACAGCTCACCTCCCTGACACCTGCCTCACCTCCCGAGTGTAGACACTCCATCCCAAGTGTAGACCCTCCAGGCCCCAGCACCTGCGGGAGGAGGCAGAGCTGGCCTGGGCACTCCCTCCGGGAAGGGCATGGGGAAAGGTCCCTCTCTTGGCCCCGGCCTTCACACATCCCCTCTCCTTCATCTCAGTCATGGCAGCTCTCTGCGTAATGGAGGCATCTCTTCCCGCAAATGTGCAGACACCAGGGAGACCGCAGCCCTGGGCGCAGCTCTCAGATGCGACGCCGCTTGCAAACCCAAACGGGCTGGGCTCCAGGATCCCGCTTCCCGGGGGCGGGCACCCTTTCTCCGGAACCCTGGTGCTTCCCGTGGTGTAGACAGCGGGCGCCTGTGCTCCGGGGAAGCGGGGCTCCCGGGGGTCCCTAAAATCCGCGCTCCCTGCAGAGCTGGGGCCGGGACCCCGAGTTACCTGTGCGGCCGCCGCTCTGCGCCTGTCCCGGGGATGCGCGCGGACCCACGTGGAGCCTCCCGTCCTGGAGCGCGAGGAAGAAGCCCCCGGAGCCCGGGCGGGTCCCCCAGGACAGCAGCCGCCCCGCGCGGTTCCACGTGCGAAACTGGAAGCTGACGGAGGCCCCGTCCGCCCCGGGGGAGCCGGGCAGCGCCAAGTGGCTCTGCGCGCTCAGAAACGTGGCGGGCACGGTCTGGGGGTGCGCACAGGCAAAGGCGACGGTTCCCTGGGAGGGGGAGATGGAGGGCGGCGCTGAGGGTCCTCCCGGTCAGGGGATCCCTCCCGGCCCCACCAGGCTTGGCCTCTTCCCATCTGGATGCCCCGCGTCCCCCACTCCACGGTGCCCACGGACCCCACATTTGCACCCGGCAGACCCCAGGACCCAGCCGAGCCCACAGCCCCGCTCCCAGCCTCTGCTGCCCTGGGTCCGGCCCACCCTCTTCCCGGAGACGCAGACGTGGTAAAAACGTGTTTTCCGCTGGGCGTGGGGAGCTCGCTTCCTGCGTGCCGGGGTGAGCGGCCCAGGGTCCCAGGGCGGAGCCGCAGACGGACCCGGATTTCGGGGCAGGCCTCAGCGGCCGACTCCCGCCCCGGGGCTCAGCCCACGGTGAAAAAAAGATAAATTTCAGGAGTGGACCCCATTAACGGAGCCCGGAAGACTGGGGTTTTAACCAGGATACCAGGTAAAGGGATCCGGGTAAGGGCAGCACTGAGGCTGCAGATGTGTCCTGAGGCTGGTCCTGGGTCCAGCCGGCCTCCCTGGGTGTAAATGCACCCGCCCGTCCCCTGTCAGTCAACGAAACCGTTGCACTGGCGTGTTAGCGACATGAAAGCACAGCATGTTAGTTTCATGCTCATGTTCAAACTTCCATGGCAGAAGCCTTATTCCAAATGTCTCGAAAACGCCAAGATATTTAACCCCAGGGAACCAGGGGCTCCAGTATGTGCCATGGTCCTGAAGCAAAGCTGCTTGCAGGGAATTATGCACCAAAAGACTGGCCTCTGGGGAGGGATGATGCCTCCACGGAAGGAAATCATGCACTGAGGCTTAATTTTATTTTAATCAAAAACAGGTCTCTCCGTCTCATGCCAGAAACAGCATGAGTTGTGCTCACGCCGGTCTGCTTGTGCTCGCGGCTGCTCGGAGGAGGCTGTTAAAATCACGAGCCTCACCTTAGACAAGGACACGGTTGGGAGCTGGAGGCACCGACTTCCTCGGGGGACTCTTACCGTGACGAGGATCTGTGGTCCCTGCTGCTTGGCCAAACCAATGACATCCTCTCCATTAAAATTAATGTTTTCTAGGCATCCACGAAAGTTTTTCCTTGGAAACACCATTGGCTTTCCTGGCGCTAAAATCCCTCCAAAGCTGATCTTAGAAAGAAACATAACATCAGTAATATTCTTTATTACCGACAATTTCTGACAATTTGCTTAAAACACTGATGATTCATAAATGGGGCAGGCTCGGTCTAGATGGGTTAATTTTGTGTACTTCTATAAAATTATTCTGTTAATTTTGAATGAATCTAAGACATAGATTCTAAAACATCTTACATGAGCTGATGTCAACTGGCGCCAGAGCCTCTGCGGCTGTCATTTGGGGAAAAGGTAATTTAGCATCAAATGGAGCCCTTGGGAGGGGATGGGGCTGTTTCTACTGGAGCTGGACGGCAGGTGGAGGGTGGCCGGGACTCAGGACCCTGAGGACACCGGGCCACCCTGCCAACGGAAAACATTGCCAAACTCTTCCGGTTCTCTTAGAAAGTGATTTCCCGGTTACAGAGGTCGTGATGGTGGTGAGGCTCACGCCCATGTTGCAAATGCTCCTGCGAGGGGATAGGGACGGCGTCTGCAGCCCTGAACATCAGGAAGGGCCCCATCCACTGTGCTGCTCCTTCTGGGCCTAGATGGAGTTTGAGCTGCCAGGTCTGTGCAAAGGATGAGGAAGCCGCACCTCGGGGTCTAGGTCCGCATGGCACAGCTCCGCCGGTGCCCAGATGGGTCTCGAGTGCCTGTCCACCGTGAGGTTCAGGCCCTGGCCAGAGCACTCCAGCCGCACTGTGTGCCAGTGCCCATCGTCCAGCAGGCTGCCCAGCGCCAGGCCACCCTGGCCAGGTGGTGAGGGTTGCGTGGTGTTGCCTGGGCAGAAGGAAGGAGATGCTGTCAGGTCCCGTCCAGAAGGGGAGGCCAGCACCCTGGCCCTGGGAGTGGCTGCATCTGACCTGGACATGAGGCCCTCCCACCCCGGCAACCCCATTCTTGACCCTCTCTTTTCACCACCTTTTACGAGTCTGTCACAGACTCGTTTTCCTGGAAAACCCTTGTCTGTGTTGTGAACTTTCCTTACTGCCGTGGCAGCCTTGTCCTCTGTAGCATGGGACAGTGATGGTCAGTCAGGGATCATTGTCCCACACTGATGATTCATAAATGGGGCAGGCTCGGTCTAGATGGGTTAATTTTGTGTACTTCTCCCATCTGGATGCCCCGCGTCCCCCACTCCACGGTGCCCACGGACCCCACATTTGCACCCGGCAGACCCCAGGACCCAGCCGAGCCCACAGCCC